CCTGCGACTTTCAAGCGATTGTCTATCAGAGGGATGGGATGGGATGGATATGAAAGAATAAACAGAAAAGAAAAGAAAAGATTATATATTTCGACTGGGACAGGAGAAGGAAATAACTAATGCGGGTATAAAATGGATTATGTGATGTATCTATATATTATATAACTAACTACGGAGTTAACTAACTCAACTACTTATATATACATATATATAACTGTGTCCCTGCCGGTGATCCCCCAAACCCATAACCTCCCCCCAACTGTTTTACTATTTTAATTACTAGTATTTATATATTTACCTACCCCCCCCCCCCCAACATAGTTAGCAAAACAGGAGTTGTTTGTTTGTTTGTTTGTTTGTTTGTTTGGCTTGGATTTGGATCTGGATTTGGTTTTGCGTTGTTGTTCTTGTTTCGAGCTTTCGGCGGGCCGTGTGGGGAATAATAATAATAATAGTATTGAACTAAATAAATACTTTAAGCTTCACGCCAGACCCCGACCCAGTCCAGCCCGGGCCGTTGTCGTTGTTCCTGTCAGCGCGTTTGTGTTGCGGGAGTGCTTGGTGAAGACCGGCCGAGGGCTTTTCCTTACCGGTGGACAATGTGGTTTACCCTTCTGTTTGTGTTCTTATTAATTTTCCCGAAGGAAGGGGGTGGGGAAGGGGGTGGGGATTTTAGAGTTATTCCTCTCCCTTTCTCCATCCTATTTGTTATTCCGTCCCTGATAGTCCGTAATCCGAAGGAAAGTGAGCTTTTTAATCCTTCACGCTCTTGGTCGTTCTCCGGTTGCCCGTCGTGTTGTGGCTTTTTTGAGCCATTCCTTTACGCCAAGCCGCAAGCAGGTAGAATGACGGAAACCATTTCTCTCTCCGCTCCCAACGTGATTAGGAGAGCTAGTGGACGCCACCAGGCAGCCCGGGCCTGAAGATGCTTTGCATGGCGGTGTGCTATCATGATGTCATAGATATATATCTCTCAGGCCAGCACTGAGGGAGTCAGGACACGTGTTCTTGCCGGCTGCGTAGAGGTATGTAGCTAGCAATGCCTAACGGCCTCCAGCTGTCAGTCTCTGACAGACAGAGCATTGCCATTGGTATAGCTAACGCGATGTGGTGATGTTGTATGGGAAAACAATGGGTTTTCACGCGATTCCTCGCGTTTTAGTTAGCCCGTTTGCCACAAACGGAATAGACCGGGTTTTTGTGCCCGTTCCAGCATATTGAAGATTTGGCGGGAGACTGAGCAATTTATAGCTTTAACCTTCGTGACAGCGGCTTTTGTGGGCCTGGAACATCCTGCGCCAGGTCCACTTCTACGAGCGGGAAGCTGGTTCGAGAGGCTTCTGGTCTGGCGGAGTCAACAGCCCGAAAAACGTGGCAACAGGAACGGCGGGTAGGGTTGAGTATCGACTTCCCGGTGAGAAATTTCCAACATGCCATTTTTGTTTTTGGTTCTGGTTCTGGTTCTTTTTTTTTTTTTTTTTTTTTTTTTTTTTTTTGCCTTTTCCGCCTCGAACTTGTTGCGTTGAGATTTCTCGAATTAGGAGCTCTAGATATCTGAAATTTCACGCCAAACACCATCAAGATTTGACACGGGCTGCTAAAGTTTGTCCCATTCCGGGGTCCTCTCCTGGCTTTAGGCAGAGCCAATAGATCAGAGCTATTTATGGAGCCTTACCTGGATAGACCGCCTGGAGAAGTTCAAAGGGGTTTTTCGTATGTCTACGCAGTATGGCCCTACTGGATGCTGTTCAAGCGCGGATTTTAGACATTGGTCTAGTGGAATGGCCTGTTGTTCGGCGGCTCTGGCCATTGATATTGACGCAATGATTTTGCTCTGATACAACGACAGCACTATGCGAGGACATCGATACTCTTCATATTTCTGTTATGTTTTTTGAATTTCCCCCCCTCAATCGTTGCCTTCGTTTCAGCCTTGATTGGTTGGCTGTGGAGTCATCTCTCCTCAGATCCCATAAGCATGCTGTATTTTTTTTTAAATAAAAATATATTGATTCGTCATCTAACCGCTCGTTTGTTCTGTGGCGAACGGCACCTCGATTATGACTTTCTTTTGCAGTTTTGAAGCAAGATCAGCCTCCTTCCCCGTGGAACATAGATTGTTGTGACTTCATACTTATATTGCAATGATTTTCTCCACTCCATCATTCAATGTATCCAAGCATCTTCCAAAACCTTTTGGCTATTGCTTACAAGATATTGAGTTCAGCTAAACTTTTCACCTTTCCACGGGTGACTCATCTTCCGAACCTTTGAGCAATTGCAACCCTTCAATTGCACAGCCCCATGGTTCCTGTGTTCACCTGTTACCTCCAGTGACCCGTGGCCTAAAACGTTGCGTTCTAGTATCGGGGATACCCCTGCAAAGTTCATATAACTTTTCGCGTTCTACAAGTATCGAACCTGGCGGATATACGTGATCTGCCACTCAAGAAATCAAGAGTCAGGAAATGAAGCATTTCGATTTCCATATGCAATCCACAGAAGATCTTTCAACCCCCCCAAGCCCGAGGGGTAGAACCCCCCATATTTCGCTGACAGCCCCCCAGAGGCCGTCGAGTCCAAGTCCTGCTGCACGACCGAACCTCTTGAACTCTCGCTCCAGAAGTACAGGAGCAGCTAATAGCAGCCGATCTCGTCAGTCGAGCCGTGTGAGGTTCCTTGGCGACGAAGAGGCGTCAGAACAAGACAACAGCCCGAGTCCCCCAAATGGAATAGATGTTGAATGGAGTCTCCCACGAGCTCCACCAATAGCTTATTCTCATCAGCGCACAGAGTCTGATGATTCGATCGGCTATTTTGATCTCCAGCGATCATCAGGCAGGTCAACTCCGTTGGGCGGCAACGAATACATATCTAGCAAGGCCAACCTTATCAGCAAGGATGGGAATGCGAGGGAAGAAGAAGAAGAAGGTGATGAAAAGGGATGGGCTCTGCACGGTGCCCACGAAAGAGCACAGAGGCTAGCTTCCGCTATACGTCGACCCTCCGTGCGCTCCAAAGGACAGAGCGGTCTTTTTCAGACGCTTTCTCGCCGGGTTCGAAACAGGCCGTTTTCACTGCCACAGCAATCCAAGTCGCCATCTTGGGATGATCTAGATAAAATGGAAAAGCAGTCATACGGCTCCGACAATGATGATGATGGCGATGTCGATGATGGGCAGACGAACGCGGAGTTTCAAGCCCATGCAGATCAGCTGAGGCGAGGCTTGGCCGGTTTAAGTTCCTACCCTCTCACCAGAATTACTGCACACGACGGTGACATCCCGTCTGGCGCCGTCACCCCTCTTGAAGAAAGGGAATATCAGGAGGATTACGTTAAGCGGCCATCACATTACAGGCCCGGGGTTTTGGGAATGTTGCTTGGGATGTATGGTAGCCGCATGAGCAACGGACCGCAGACCCATGATACAGAGTTATCCTCACCTGCACCTCTAAGGGAAGCTGGTCAAAACGGAAATGGTGCAATTTTAAGTCCGCTAACTTATCGATGCCTTCCTTTGGCTCAATCTCGCCGTTCGGAGGACCTCGGCGATCGTCAGTTGTGAAAAAACGAA